AAAACTTTATCGTTTTTAGGAAGAAGTCTAGCCTTCTTGTTGTTTGGTTGTTTGCCCATATCTAAAGTGATATGTTCGTGCTTTCTGGACCTCAAGGTCCTTGTTTCATTAGAAGAAAAAAAAGATAAAAAAGGAGTTTTGTAGTAAAATCTTGATTTGTATATATTTTCCAGAGGTGAACCGGAAAGAGTTTTTTTTTTAGATGCTTTTTCATATATGTAAAATAGGTTTAGTACTGTATTCCAATCTGAAGGGCAACCTATTCCTATTGTTAGATTGTCTGCATAGGCAACTGTTTTAAAATGTTGTTTCTGTACTGGAATTCCTCGAATTTTAGACTCTATCGTTATTAGTAGAGGCTCAAAAGCTAAAGTGTACAAAAGAGGAGAGAGAAGATCTCCCTGTCGAACCCCCCTTTCTACTCTGAAGGGACTTGAAAGTTCACCTGAATCTACAATATGTGCTTCTTGGTTGGAAAACAGGTTTTTAATGATGTTTCTAAACTTTGTGCAAAAGTTCATTCTTTCTAGAACCAAAAGCTTTTCATTGGTCTACAAAAAGCATCCAGTGTTGTTTAGAATTGTCTGTTTGATTTCTCATTGTTGTGATAATATCTAGGGCTGCATCTGAGATTGATCTTCTGGCGATAAAACCTTGTTGATAACTAGGAATAAGGGTGTCACAAATTTTATTTAGCCTGTTAGCTACTAATGAAATTGGCCACCAGTTGTCCAGGTTGCTAAGATCTGTTGCTTTTTTAGAAATCAAAATTATTAGATTCTTGCACCATAAGGTTGGAAGAATTCCAGACTCCAGAATCTGATTGAAGATTTTCTCTAGTATTGGCGTTATATATTCTTCTATAAGTTTATAAAACTCGTATATAAGGCCATCTATTCCTGGAGATTTGTTATTAGGAAGTTGTCTGATAATTGAGCTAATTTCTTCCTGAAACTTGTGGGAGCTTATTGGTTAAACTGTCCACTGCTTCTGGATCAATCTTCTTCTTTTTGTAGATTCTGGTATATTGTTCTTTTATGTACTGGAGCGTGTCTTCCTTCCTAGTTTGTGCAGGAGAACTAGGGACCTTAACTTCAGTTATTGCTGAGCTGGAGTGGTGGGCTTTGTAGTATGAAAAGAAGTATTTTGTAGACTTTTCTCCCTGTTCGATCCATCATGCTTTAGAACATATTTGCCATCTGTCTGCTAGTAAGGTAAGAGATTCTTGCATACAGAAATTCAAATCTTTGCACACAGAGTACAGGTGTGTTTTGGTAGGGTCCTTTGCTATCTCCTCCTTG